ATTTACACTCCGCCGGATTGTCACATTTCGGTTTGTGCCGTCGCGGTCTATAGCGGCTAGGAAGGCCGCGGCTTCGGCCAGGCTCTCCCAGTATGATTTAAAGTTTGACAATTTGACCGGAGGGTTGCGCTAGAGGAAAGCTCACGGAGTTGATGGACTGTCCAACAAACACTTGGTTTGAAGCACAATGGTGCTAATGGGCCAAAAAAAACAAAACAAAGACAAGCACACCAGAACAATTGGAACAGATGGAAAATAAATTGTATCTGCAAAAAGTTCAGATTACAATCATGAACGAGGCTTTCACTAATAAACACTCCGGCTGATGTGTTAATTGTTGCAGCTGTGTTTTCAGGTTCTTTGTGAAGTGAAGTGGCAGCTGGCCGACTTGGCTCATTTCATGCCGATGCATTTTTCTATACGAGAACAAACTGCAGCACTTCCTGTTAAAGCAGTGCACAAGTAAAAGCTTTTCTGTTTGACTTATACCAGTAACACACTCTTCATCGTAATAATAATAATGTTGACCTCTGGTCCTGGGCACCTTCTCAGGGAGGTCAGAGGTCATGTTCCTGCTGCCCAGACCTGATATGTAATAGTTTCACTTGCATAATATCACACACACAACAAGCTACACCCATGAACACGCACTTTTAAGTTTTATCGCCAGTGTTGCGGAGCCGGTTCAGAGAGAGTCCCACTCGACACTCTCGCATCACGAGACTCTAAAGAAAGAAGAAATCGACAGCCGCCACTACGCTTCACTCATCTTTATTAAGGAAGTTTAGACGTGTTTGTGTGAATTATCCCTACACCAGTTTCCTTTTATCTTTAAATTGAATCTTTTCCAACCCGACGGCCACAACTGACACACTTGGCGTCTGCGAAGATGCTCGTCTCGTCTGCCTCGCATTAGCATTTTCAATTTGAGGTCTCTAGAGCTGCTCGTGAGCTGCATAAACAGCTGATCCAAAACATATTCACAAAGTGAGCCTCACACACAAACAGACTGTTGAAGCCACCGACAGTCTGTGTCTCGTCAGCTGTAACACTTGCATTAAATCACCGCTCCCCCGGACAGGAAGCCATAAGATGAAGGAGATGAAAACACATTTTCATCATTGGGGGATTCGTTGGCTCTTTGTTGGCTAATTATCCAATAAACAGTGCGTTTAGATGTAAGGCGTTCGTCCTACTGCACAACTGAAATGAAGTGAAAACATCACGTGACACTCTACGGTCACATGACAGTAAATAACCATCACACAGAACAGAGCAGATTTTACAGTCAAATTTCTTTAAAATCACAGTATATTATTGTTGAGAAATGTTCATTTAACAGCAGAGCAACAAATATATTATGTCAAAACATTAAAAAACAACTACTTGTCAGATTTTTCTGATCTACAGTAATTTCCTATTAAGATATTGTTGTTTTCCAGTTGAGTAAGAAATAATGTTTAAAAACGCCATGAGTGCATAAAATCAAAACACAAATCTCATTCATTTTGCACAGCTAATATATTTTTAAAAAGTTAATTGGCCAGTGGAAAAACAATAAAAGTGTGTAAAAAAAAAAAAAAAAAAAATACAGAACATTCTCTGTAAATTAACTTTTGCAGTTTATTTATGACGACTTATTCAAGTGATAGTTTTCTAATTAGCTTTATTTGGAAGGTAAACGGTCCAAGAAACACGTTGGAGTTGGTTTGGAACGACTGAAGATAAATACTTTTAAAACCGTTATTTTACTAAAGTGGTGCAGTTTCTAGTTTCTAGTTTATTAAACGAAAACATGCGGCAAAGTGAAATCGTTACCCAGAAAACGTGACAGCATCATATTCTGGGACTTCTAGAGAAAGTTTTTGGTCATAAAGCTAACAAACATTTTGAATCTAACATACATGTTTAAGCGAGTTGTGATAGCTGCTCCTGTTTATAACACGCAAACGTCATGTGTCAGGTCAAAGGTCGGCGTGTAGGCATGTTCTCCATCTTGAATTCTGGGAAACTGACGACAGACACTTTGTTCTTTGTGAAAAGTGATTTAAATAAAAGGACAAAAGATATGATTATCATTCTTTAAGTATCATGACATCATTGACAGACAAAATGATCACATAAACAAACTAGAAATAAAATAAAAATAATAATAATAATAATATGGTCAAATGAAGCCTGAGCACTCAGTAATTCTTTCTACGCAACAAATGATCCACTATAAACTATATAATCTTCAGACCGAGACAGACAAAGCCATCGGTACATCATAAAGAAATGAGTAAATTTAACCAAAATGAATAGTGACAGTGTCTACAATCAGATCAGCTGTGGTCCGGGAGCCGGCCCTCAGGTCGCCCCCCCCCCCGCTACGGTTCTGCCGACTTATAATGCTGCTCGTCGATGGTGGAGAAGACGTGACCTTCGTTTAGAAGAAAAGCCAGAGAGGATCTGTACAAAAAGGAGCAGAGTGCGAATTTAAAACATTTACGTCTGTGTCACATGTCTGCCATGTAGATCCTGGTTCCAGTAATCCCTTCCAACAGTGATGTATGCAGTGTCATTAGTGCCAGGAGGCTCCATAAAAAAAACAATATTAATATTCATGTTTTTATCTGAGGTCAATCACAAGCAAAGTACTGACCTCATCTCAAAAAGTGAGAAGATAATAAAACAGCTGAATGCAAACTAAACTGTGATTCAGCTCCAGGTGCGTCACGGTCACGTTAATTTATATGCTACAGGAAACTTCCATATGTTGTGAACTGGCAAGCGTCACTCAGATGTCACAAAAAGCAGTTTATGCCATGAAATCAACTATTTCTTTGCAGCGATACCAGTTCGTGCTCTCTAATGACTTAACCCGTGCTCTTCAAATCATTTCTCTGAGTGGAAACTCTCTAAAATGAGCCACTTGGATTTAATTTGTTCTGATGTTGGACAGAACAATGTGGATTTACAGCAGTTTTCATCTGCCTTGTCTATTAAAACATTGTTGGATTTTCTTTGACATCCCTTGAAGCTAAACATCAATAATACAGTTAAAAATCAATAAAATAGTGTCACTTTATTTCCTTTTTTCATTAAATAGCCAATAGAGGCTAAATAAGACGAAACATAGCTGACAATTTATTAATTGACTGCAAGAATTATTTAAATCAAGAGTGCAGCGAGTAAGTGATGCAGATAAATTATTAGTTTGACAGCATGGTTATTTAAAGCTCCATATTTTCTTCTTCTGTGTTTTAGTTGAAATGTTGATCCATAAGAAGATATATTTGTGGTTTTAAGAACCAGAAACCATCTCAGTGTAGTTTTACATCTCCTCTCTCAGGCTTCTCTCTGGAGCTCTAGTAACAACAGGGAGGTGAGCCAATCGGATGAGAGCAGGCTCTGAGCCTCTCTTCTGATTGGCTGACTGTTTTCTGAGCGATCCAATAAAAATATAGCAGATTTCAGGTAAAAACACTCAGAGAAACCAAATCCTGTAAAGGTTTGGATGGTGGGTCCAGGTGGGCGGGGCTTGGGGACTGCTTTGTTGTGACATCACAAAGTTCCAGAAGTCCTGACGGCTGGTTTTAAGGCTCAGTTTCTGAATACAGGCTGTGTGCATTTCTCTGTGGACTGAGGCTTTGATACTTTCACAGTATTAATATAGAAGCTAGAGCTGATCTATAATCACACTACACATGGACACAGACCTTTAGAGTATAAAGGACCTTTAATTCAAGAGTGATTAACTCATTTGAAGATGCATATTAGTTTATGTATATTTCTTTAATCTACCCCCGTCAGTCACAAAACTAAAAGATTTCATTTCTTTTATTACCAAGTTTGTTTGGATGTTGCTAACGGTCCATTACCCACCAGCATACGTTAAAACATAAGTGTCAGCATGGACCTACATACTGTGCATGTTCACAGAACACAGGACGATGAGCTGGTACCTGATGTCCCCCGTACTGAGGTAGTCCAGCTGTGTCCTCAGGTCATGGAGACTGATGCCAACATCACGGTGAGAGAACTTCCTGATTACATGCAACACCTGAGACAGGAAGCAAGAAATCACTTTCCACAGCAGCAACAAATCCTCAAATTTCAGAAGCCGAAAAAGTGAATATTAAAATTTTCACAAAGCAAGAAAATTATCCAGAACTATTCAACTCTTTTCAGTCCAACTGCGTATTGGTATGACATCATCAGTCCGATGTCCACACTTACCCTGGATAATTCACAACCTTCACTGTGGATAGTTTTCATTACAAACTATTTTCTATGATGAAAACTGACATTTGTACAAAAGACATTTAAACGTGTAAACAGTAGAAAAAGCGCAAGTGTAAATAAAATGATTGATTCAGTTGGTATTGTTCCTGCTGGCTCACTGTCACAGATTACTGGGACACTTGGATAAAACAAAGTCATTATTAACGTTACTAGTAACACATGCTTTTCCTACTATAACAAGTAAAAATGTCTGCTGTGAGAAACACACACACACACGTTTCTGGAAAGAGACTCTGCTGCCGGAACGGTCCAAATACGACTCGGAAAAATATTCTACATTGTATTTAGTAGGGAAATGTGTTTACACTCACTCACCTGATCACGGACGGTGGACAAACCATGCGGTGTGATGCCGCCTGCAAGAGGTCCACCGCTGCACCGTCCAGACAGCGAGGCAAGACAGGTGTTCATGTTCACGTCGAACACCTGGGTTAACAACACGAGCACGCTCAGAATAATCACACAGCAGCGAAACAGGGGAAGCGGGAAGACGAAAAGGTTATTAGCTCGTTAGCTTAGCTCATACAACCGAATCCAGTCTCATAACTGTCTGCAAACCCTTGGTCTCGAGCATTTCCTCTGATCGGGGCAATTCCAGTGAAATAAATTTCACCATAAAATAAATATAAATTTTAGTGAGACCAGGCGTTTAGTGGGGACAGACAATATGACGACATGATTAGTTCTGTCTTTCAGTGGAGATTTTTTGTATCTCACACCCTTGAATTCTTGAATATTTGAACATTTCCAGTTTCTCAGTATTAAAATGCTCAAGAAAAAGATTTTGTCAGAGTAGAATTCTGGTCGAACCGGCTGCGATACCGTTCCGAAAAGCTCCATATGGGCTTGTACCACTTCCAACATGTGGGACGTGATTTCATTCGGGTCGTCGATGCAACGGATATTCACTGCCAGCAATGACCTTTGACCCTAATGTAACAAAACACAAACTGAATTTGTCATATATGGTCAGAAAAATCAAGGAGAACATCAATGCTCACTTCTCTTTAAAGCCCATCATCATCATCATCATCATCATCATCTTTAAACCCTTTGTTTGTATCACTCACACTGAAATTGCGTAGATTTCCTATGACCTTCACATATGTTCCAAGAGAAGCGAACGTCATCACTGCGCCGTCCTGTGAGGAAATTTTCAAACCGATTATTTACCACAATAGTTCAGTCTGCGGTTTCCATTTGCAGTCGTGGGCAGAGCGAGTTGATGCCACTCGCCTCTGCACTGACCCACTGCTTCACGTTTAAACGTGGACCCGTCATGTCGTCCACGGCGTACTGGACGTTGGTCACGAAGGGAGACAGCCCTCTGATGACACCCACAACAGACACCTGCAGCGAGAGAAGGGAAACCAAATAAAACTCAGCACCTGAGACCAAACTCCACTGAAGAATCTGCAATTAAAAAGGCAGAAAGGAAACTGATGCTTTTAAATTCCACTCAAGAGAGCACGATTCATCATGATTTATCAACTTATACATTTATAATTTTATCAAAATGTCTGAGCATATATAAGGAGGATGCACAGCATGTGACACATGCATCGCTACATTAACTTAGCATTATTTTCCACATCAAAATTTTCAATGATCAGGATTTTCACTCATCACTCTGAGCCCTGTCGCAGAAGTCATGCTATAGCCCATCACACATAATAATAATAATAATAATAATAATAATAGTTATTTGTATAGCACCTTTCATACAAGAAATGTTGCACAACAAGGAAATGACCTGCACCAAGTGCTTTGCATGAAAAGAAAAGAAATAAAATGAACATTAAACATTGTTAAAAGCATTGATCTAAAATGAAAATGTAAAATAAGATAAAATAATGAATCATTAAATAGAGAGACATTTACTCTCAAGTCTTGGGTTAGTCCTGAGTTACAACCCAAGTCTTTAAGTTTGTGTTTAAAGTCCACATGTATACATACATACAGTATACGCCTCATTCCTGTGACAAATTAAATAGTGATGAACACACAGACAGTGAAGTGCTTCATTTCCTTGTACCTGGTTGAGTTCCCAGTCGCAGATCGCAAAGGCATCACTGCTGACTGGAGAAGCAGACAGAAGCTGAGACACTGTGCAGGGCAAAATCTGAAGAGCTGCTTTCTGTGGCAAAATCACAGAGAGGGAATAAATGAATGTGACCTCACCATACGAGCACAGATCCTTACACAGTATTAAACTGCAGATTAAAGACAGACACACCTTTGATTTCCCTGCTTTGTGGCCGGATTTCCTCGCAGAGGACGGACTGCAAGCTTTGGCCACGCAAAATGAAAGTAATGTCAGCAAACATAAAGTGAGGAAGTGCAACGGGATTGTTAGAAGCAGCTGAAACTTACCTTGATTCCACATGACACAATATCTTCAGTGTGAGCGTCACATGTGCAGCGACCTCTTCTTCAGCGGCGTTGAGACGTGACAGTACGTGAACGAGTCAGGCCGGAAGCACAACTACCTTGTGCCAGCAGCTTCTTTATGTCCACGCCCAACAGGTGAATTGAATTACAGCAATTACCCACAATGCAGTGCACGACCAAACAGAACAGCCTTAGGAGTGAATGATCAGCTGTGATGCAACTCACATGCTCCATGTTTCTTTAAAAGCAATTCAAGGATTATTTTCAATTTCATTTTTATTAAAAAAAAAAATCCATCAGTTCGACAGTGATTGACAGGTGTTCACACCACTTTGGATAAACTTCATTTAATCTCTTCAAAATATCTTACAATGACATAAGAGCGAAACTTGTTCATACAAAAGTGTGAGAGCAGAAGATTGCTGTGCAGTGGCTGCGAGTTCAGACCTTCATCTGAACAACAGGACGTTTCAGCGTAGGCCCCCGATCCAGGACTCGTCACACGTCACAGCGTGGCTTTACTATCCGTCATTTCAGTCGACGAGCGGCTGATAAACTTCTCACAGGAAACATGTTGAAAACAATTCTAACCAGTAACGTGGAGAAAATGTTTTTCAAGCAGGTGAAAAAGGAACAAAAAAATAAATCAAATAAAATAAAAAGATTTCCTGCTCTTCTTTTCCATTACAGTCAATACAAAAGGACCCACAGATCTCTTCTTTGTTCACCCACTGGAGTTCAACTGTGTTCACTGCTGCCACCAGTGGCCAGACGCCGTATTACAGTAACACTGCTGAATAAAATGTGCAGTCGTACGTCAGTCGTAACCTAACAAACTCATTCATAAAGAATACAACATGGCTGCCGTTTGTTCAATATAAACTACAATTTAATGGTTAGTGTTATATTGTCAATGCACAGTATTTTTTTTTTTAACCCTTTCAAACTCTTATGAGCCGCTCAGTCACTGAAATGTCCCAGGAGATTGCAAAGCCGTACGTTGCATGACGGTCCCGGATCAGTTCTACGTAAAGTGGTGAATTTTTTTATTTTTTTATTTTTTTTCCCAGAATTCCAAAAGGAGACAGTTCTGTTTTCCAAATCTGTCCAGTACCGGAGAGAAAAGACGAAGGAGTTGACCCACGTTTGTTTTACCAGCTTTGTTTACACACAAAAGTAAAAATAAAAACAAACAATAGGTCAAATGTAAAACGTACAATTAACACTAGCACACCAACAGTATTAACCTGTAAATATATCACATCTTTTCAATGATTGAAGTAAACTGAAGCCGACTTAAGAGCTGAAGAAAAAAAATTAAAATAAAAAATAAAAAAAATCGAATCCATCACAGCAATTTACAAAACGAGTCGGGCTCTTGAAAACAGAGCACATCCAGTCAAATGTACATCAACCTTGTTCGTCCACCTGTTTATCCTATACACTATTTACACATGTGCAAAGGAATTGAATACAACAAATCAAAAGGGTGAAATCTCTTGATACGACAGACCGAGCATTTTGTTTGGCAAACC